GAGAAAGCCACTGATTTTTGCGCTTCACACTCTCATATTGAATCCATGTTTCATCAGATGTTAGAATTCTTCCCCAAAAATCATTGCGATTTGCCTTTTTGAATCAGGGCAGAGCTCACGATGACACGAATTGTTTTGACTCACGATGACACGAATCAATCGCTAGTCAATCGTATCAACGTCAAATCTCGTATCGTGTTTTAGTAACAGATTTCATTGAATTCAAATCAGTAGCAGAAGCGGTAGAAACCTCATCGTTACAAACAACTTCACCTAAAGCTTCGGACAACTTCTTCTAAATGATTTTGTCAATAACAATAAAAAGAGAGGAAATGGATGTCAAGAAAAAGAATTCCGTGTTTTGATAAAAAGTGATCAGAGAGTCCAGAAGGATTAGTTCTTCATTCCGTGTTTTCTGGTGATGGTCGTGATTACCAGAAACTCGAAAAGTCTTATCAGAAGATCTCCCTCAAACTTGATAGACACATTTCAGATTTCAGATCCATTAGGGTATTTGGCTGTCGAATGTAGCTATCTATACCGAAGCGATGAACCGTTTCTGAGGCTGGTCTCAATTCCAAAAGAAGCAACGGTTGGATGCAATCATTTCTTCGTCGACATGGTTTTCCTCTTTCCGATGAAAAAGGCATTACTGTGGGGAATAGCCACTAACAAAAGCTCTCTGATCCTGGTAGTCTAAATATTGATAAATTATGGAGGAAATCCAAGTGTCCTCATTCTATTTCTGGCCCCAAATCATTGTTGTTTTGTAGCAGTTTTCGTTTTCAGTTTTCGCTGAAACGAAGATTGATTGTTTTTGGTTGACGACTGATGACTAAAGGAGTGCCCATTCCCCTCCTTTCTCTTTATTTGGTAAGAATTTTGCCTATAGAATTTTGCCCTATTTTGCTTGGCAACGAATTTCTTGTTTGATTATCTCATCAATTCTGCTTATTTAGTAGCCTTTTCCTTTAATTTTCACTTGTTCTGCAGGAAAGTTCAGTCATTTTGTAGGACAGTTCGTTCGTCTAGCAACCAAAATGGACAATCTCTCGAAGCCTCCTCCTCGATGTCTTCAGAGCATCTCTTCTTTTTCCAAATCTCCAGAAATGCCTTTAATGCCTTGAGCAGTTTCCGTTTTAGAGAGGTTTTGTTTAGTTATGCTTTTTACAACAATGCTCTGCTTTAACACAAAACAACTTAAAAAACATAGAACAACCAAAACAACAATCAACAATGATGACACCTCGAGGAGCTTTGAATTTTGAAGTTGGAGAAGTCAAAAAGGCTCTAGGAAAAACCGTTTACGCCGGGGGAGATAGATAGCTTTGAGGAACAATTGTGGCGATTTGATGGGAACGGTCGGTTCAGTTGACTTTCCCCGAAAGTAGTCTCCTGATAACTCCGCGTTTTCTCACTCACCAACTCCACACGAACTGACGGCTTTCTTTTTCCCGAAATGCTACTTTTTTTTGCACGAAGTTCTATTCTTTCAACGGCTTATTGAGTCAATCGCTTTCCTGAACAATTTCAGAGCCCTCGAAAGCTCTTTTCCGTAAAAAACAATTGTGTATCGGATCGTCCCTCCATTCGTTCTTCCCATTTCCCCGTATTCAAAACTAATCAACCAATTCAGCAGAATGGGTGTGATGGCCGTCGGTCTATTCATCACGATTCTCCTCCTTTTCCATCAAATTTCTTCGTCCATTCAAGAAAGCGTTCAAGTGGATCTATTCACGTATTGCTTTCCCTTCAAATAGCCATGTTTTCAACCATTCAGATCTTCGAATGATCGAGATGAGATTCCGTCTGGTGATCGTAGTACGTTGAAGTTGGTTAGAAAGGGGTTTGTGGATGATCTTAGATTTCAGCAGTAAAGAGGATTGTCCGGATACCGTCTGCTTGAGATCTTGTCAAAGCAAATTGTGAGTTTTTTTGGGAGAAAAGCGAAATTGATAGAATAAACAAGAAATAGGCTTGGGTGTCTCAATGACAAGACTTTTCAGGAATGGAACCCGACAAGAACTCGTCGAGGCTCGAGGAAAAATCAGTGGACTCGAGAGGGAAATGTGGGTGAAATCAAAAATCTTGAAGAATTCAAGCTCATCTTTTTTGGATTTTGAGTAGTGATTTTGACAAGCCCAATATATAGTTATCTGAACTATTTTCAGAAGAACTCAGAATAGGGAAGCAAGAGACGGAAAAGCCAAGATTGGAGAGCTCGAAGGGAAAATCAACGCGTTGCAGAGCGAGAACTCTGACCTCGAAACCCAAATGTGAGTTTATTTGGTATCTCTTGTGGACTGCGACTTGAGAAAACAGTTTTTTCACTCCCAAAACACACATCCCACTCAATCCAATCAACTCCCCAATCAAAAATCAACAATTTAAAAGAGAAAACAAAATGGCCGAAATCAAGAGGTTGCGGGCAGATTTATGCGTTTTTTTCAGGAAATAGATTGAGTATTTGTCTAAAGAATCTGGAGTAATGTTTTTCCAAGAAATTCAGAAGTCGAACGATGACTTTGATCTTGGATCTGAATGGATGGTCGTATTTGGCAAAAAGCTCTTCTTGGTACAAGGTTTGGTGGATGTTGTGAACCAGGATTATCTTCATCTCAAGGCTTTCGATCAAAGAATGACATTTGATCAAGCCGTGGCATATTGTGCGAGTCGAAAGAGCCATTTAGTCTCAATTCACAGTCATGAAGAGAACGATTTTGTTTGGGAACTCGGTAAGAAATCGAAATGATTCAATTCTGAAAATTCATGATTTTCGTAGAAATTTATGTTTTATAAACCAAGAACAACCGATATTTATTTCAGCGAAAACTGTTCAAGCCTTTCATGGGTTCTGGATCGGACTGAAGGTTGAGTTTTTCTCATTGAAAGACATAAATAAATATATAGAAACTAATGATTATTTCAGCCATTTCCCGAAGGCTTTTTGTGAAAAAATGATTCGTTTGGCTAGTAGTTCTTTGATTGAAATAATGGTTTCAATTGGGTAACTAGAATAATTTCAAGAATGAGAAAGGAAAATCGGATCGAAATATATCAATGTCCAAACATAAACATTTCTTTATTCAGAGAAATCCGAACAAAGGAAATGCTTTGGAATGGACGGATGGAAGTTCGGTGGATTTCACGAATTGGAATGGAGAAGAGCCGGATTTGAACACCCACACTTGGGTGAGATTTTCAACGTGAAATCATCAATATGTATTCCAATTTCCAATGCATAATTAAAATTGATCAAAACACTTTGATCAATCTGAGGAAATTTCTTTTTGTGAAAGAACACAAAGTGTTTTATCAAAGGATCTCCATCAGAAATGAACACATTTCAGCTTCTGAGCTACGATGGGAAATGGGGAGTCTATCCTCCTACCCAGCAGATTCTTTTGATCTGCAAAAGGAGCTCTCAATTCTGATAAATGCTTTGTGTCTTTTTCTGTGGACCAAAAATCAATAAATCCCAGGTTATCCAATCTTCTGAAAACACAGAACTGCACATTAGCTTCTCCTTTATTTCTGAATTGTTTCTGCAAAATCTCATATAAAAAGTTTTTCCAGAAATCCAGAATTGCGCCTGCAGCTGCAAGTATTTTGCTGTCTGGCTGCTCCTGAATATTAGATTTGGAATATGGAATACAATCAAAATGGATTTCATTCGAAATTCCCCATTCATTTGCCTCGTGATGTTCTCGGCCACGTTTGCGAAGAGTTGCGTGTAGCTAAGGGAATTTCTTTGTCCAAATCCAAAATCTCTTTGAGGCACGAGTAGCGAATGAAGAGGTCCGGCGAGAGAGATGCTGTTCGAGTTTCAGTTTAACAAAGATCTCTTTTCCGTCAAAGGAGTCCTTATTAGTCCAAATTAAATTGGTGGACTCTTCTTTTCGAAGTTATGGACTGGCTAGACAGAGTCAATTTCTAAAAGTGTCTCAAGGCTTTTTTGCCTCAACATGTGAGATGTTGGACTTTCTCTGTCAAAAACCTTACCACAAAAACTACAAAAACTCGGATGATTCGTTTCCTGAAAATCTCCATAATATTTCTATTCCTTAGCATGAGGCGGCAGGTTTCCATGCAAATCTAGAAACTATTCAAAATCTAAGGAGAAGTGTTTTATTAACTATTAGATCAGGGAAAAATAATGCGCGTTTTTTGCGTGTAACAATAGATTGCATTCTACAAGAAATAGCAACTATCAATCAATAAAGTATTCTCCATTTTGACTTCTTCCCATCTTCGACGCAAGTCCTTCATTTCATTTATGGAAAATTGGGGATTTTTGGATCCCTCGACTCTATCGTCTCTGGTGATTCCATCCAATTAACGCCATTCCAAACACTCACAAATCGGCTTCCAACCTGGTCTCCAATTCGGAGACTCTTGTCGTGATCTCGCTAGCTCCACGTCCGGTTTTGTTCGCTCACGATCGTTCGCTTTGCCCGCTGTCTAATTGGGGGGACCCGTGAAAGTATTTGCGCTGATGGGTTGGAAAATAGACATAGTTCGGCCCTTTGGACCGTACAAATCTCTCATTAGGCCTTTCAGACAGTTCAGAAAAGTCCACGGTTACACTCAGGCCCTTCTGGCCTTCAAAAATTTTCATTCCAGCCCTTCGGGCCGTCAAAACAGTGGTTCAGGTCTCACACACATCGGTGCAATTTGCGTTTTTTGATGAATTTTGATGAAAGATGAAAGAAAGATCACACCAAAAGCAAGCAATTATAAAGCCTCCACAAAAACTAGTAGTATTGTGAAACTAAAAATAACTGTCTGTCTGTTTGTAATGACCTCAGAAAGCGACTTTGAAATGCTCAAAATTCCATTCTCAAACATCTATTCCGGCTCGTCAAAACAGTTATTCCTGCCCTTTGGGCCGTCAAAACTTTCACTTTGGCACTTTGGCATCGTCGCTCCATTCATTCTTCCCATTTCCTTGAATTCAAAACCTTGAATTTCGAATTCACCAATCGATCGGAATGGGTGTGATGGCCGTCGGTCTATTCATCACGATTTTCCTTCTTTTCCATCGAATTTCTTCGTCAAAGTTGGTCAGAAAGGGATTTTCGATGATCTTAGATTTTAGCAGTAGTGATGAGGGTTCGTCGTCAAGGTATATCCATCAATTTGTCTATCCCATCAATTTGAGGTCTTGTCAAAGAAATTTGTGGGTTTTTTTGGAGGCAATGAACAAGAAATAGGTTTGCGTGTCCCAATGACAAGACTTTTCAGGAATGGAACCCGACAAGAACTCGTCGAGGCTCGAGGAAAAATCAGTGGACTCTGCGAACGACCGACGAAGATTGGTGCTGCTTTGAAAGCCGGGATGTGAGTCTTGAGATCCCTTAAAGAAATATCTGAGACTGAGACACATCTAGAGATTCCAAAGTCGCCGAAATGTCAAGGACCTTTTCCGCGTTGAAAGCCGATTTGTACGTTGAAAACTGTTAGAATTTGACTGGCTAGAGTTGTTCAGCGAGAAGGAGTTGAACGAAACGAGGAAAGAAAATGCCGAGGTCGAGAGGAAATTGAGGTCCGAAAGCATGGAGCTAAAGGCCGAGTTGTGAGTCTTCTTCTCTCTCTGGTTATTCTTAGTTATGACAGATTGTTAACTAACAGAACACCTTTTAGAGCAACGAAAATAACCGAATTGAGGGCTCAAATGTGAGTTCATTTGGCATCTCTTGTCGACTGAGACTTAAGAAAACAGTTTTTTCATTTCCCAAACACCCATTCCACTCAATCCAATCAATTCCTCTTTAGACAATCTGAAAGGGAAAACAAAACGGCCGAAATCGCGAAGTTGCAGGCAGATTTGTGAGTTTGTTTGATCGAAAAGGAAGGAGTATTTGTTTCAAAAAAACCTGGAGTAAAGGTTTTCGAAGAAATTCAGAAGTCGAACGACAACTTTCTTGGATCTGGATGGATGGTCGTATTTGGAAGAAACCGCTTCTTGGTACAAGGTTTGGTGGATGTTGTGAACCAGGATTATCTTCATCTCAAGTTTATCGATCAAAGAATGACATTCGATGAAGCCGAGGCATATTGTGGGGGCAGAAAAAGCCATTTAGTCTCAATTTACAGTCAGGAAGAGAACGATTTTGTTTGGAAACTCCGTAAGAAATCAAAATGATTCAATTCTGAAAATTCATGATTTTCGTAGGAATTTCTGCTTTATACACCAAAAACAATCGATATTTATTTCAGCGAAAAATGTTGGTTCGGAGTCTTTGTTCTGGATCGGACTGAAGGTTGAATTTTTTTTATGGAAAGACATAAATGAATATATTAAACTTAATTCTTTCATTTTTTTCAGCCACTTTGGAACGCACTTTGGAAAAAAAGATTCGTTTGACTGATAGTTCTTTGATAGAAATAATGGTTTCGATTGGGAAACTAGAATCATTTCAATAATAAGAAAGGAAAATCGGATCTAAATATCAATGTCTAAACATAGAAATTTTTTTATTCAGAGAAATTGGAACAAAGAAAATGCTTTTGAATGGACGGATGGAAGTTCGGTGGATTTCACAAATTGGAAGGGTAGATGGCCGGATTCGTACACCCACGCTATTGTGAGATTTTCATGGTGAAAACATGAATATTTATTCCAATTTCGAATGCATAATTAATCCAAAAATATTTGAAGCAATCTGAGGAAACTCTTTTTTCTAAAGTAATAAATGCTTAATGGAAGGATTTCCATCAGAAATAAACATATTTCAGCTTTGGAGCCTCGATGGGAAATGGACGGTCTGGTCTCCTACCGATCAGTTTCGTTTTATTTGCAAAAAGGAGCTCTCAATTCAAATAGTATATAATACATGATACTTTTTGTAGAAAGTTTTTTTGGAAAAGAATAGTCTTCTAAAACTTGTTGTCATAATTTTGGATGATCCTTTAAATCGCTTAAATCATCCAATCATAGCAAATTTTCCGGACCAACCATAGTTTGTCCTTGGAAAGCGTACATCAATATTCCAATCTACACTTCCATCTCCATCCTTGAATTGCATTATGGCTTTAAATAAAGCTTCTAATCGTTAAAAATAACTACATTTCTCAAAGATAACTAAGAAATAACAAGATTTCTTTCCGGACTTTCCAGCAAAACTTTCCAGACTTACTGATCGCACCTAATCTGACATCCATTCACTAACAATTAACAATAATGCCCAAGCAACAAGAAGAAAAAGTAGAAAACACATCTTTTCAAGAACTTTCTTTGATAAAGACTGTTTTAACACATTCACGACGATGGGACTCACCGGTGGGTCCCAGGGTGACTGCCATCTGGGACGACGGGATCCACCGATGGATCCCGGACCTCAAATCCTCATAATTTGCTTTTTGTATCTCGGATCTCCTTTCCTCACTTGTTTCTGGAATTCGGTTGGGGGTTACTTATTAAACTTAAACATATTTGTGCATAACATGACATGCTTTCCTGAAAGATATATTTTTATTAGGTAACGAATGAAATACGTATTCTAGAATTACAATAATTAAAAGCGAGAAAACACAAACATCGTAATTTTTAATTTATCAAGAAGATTGACATTGCAAAATATGCATTTGAGAGTAATTGAAGCACAATTTAATTTGAAATCGGTAGGCCAGTGGCGGTCGGTGAAAAAAGAGCTGCTGGACTGGCCGATAAACTCTGCATCAACAAGAGGCATGTGCGCACGATCGAAAATGTCTAGTAGTTTTTTGTATCTAGGATCTTCTTTCCTCACTAGATTTCCATAATGCCCAACACTGCAATACGACCCATTAAAACAAGTTCGTGATGCAAAAAACTCGACACAACTCGTGAAGCTATCCCAACTTATGAGCCTAACTTGAAGTTTCACATTTTCTTGCATTAACGAAAGATTCTCGTTGAAAAGCTGAGAAGGAAGACGCATTAGGTGGAAATCTTCACATAGTGACCAATGGCTTTTCATGAAAACCGCAAGTTCCCGATCAAGGTCATCAGAACGAAAGCGGTCATCAGTAAGCAAGGGGTCCCAGTTGATTCGGAAGCGCTTCGTCACTCGTATAAAACTATATCTTGAAAGAAGTGATCGAGTCACGCTCAAATCACTAGGAAAACCAATTGAAAACCCTCTTAATGGATTCCTTAGAGTGGAGGGGAGAAATTTAGAAGCATCAAATTCTGTTTTGTTTTCTGAAAGGACAGTTCTTTGAAAGCAGAATATTTTCAAATCAGCGAAATGGATTAACTTTTGAAAGAGTCTCCCCTGCGAAGTATTCACTTAAACAGTGGCACTTGCACCAACCTGAAGATGCTTCACGTCATTCTTCACGTTGCTCGAATGAAAAAGCCAATAGTTAGAGTGATGCAGGATATGAATGGTTATGCCCAAGGCTATAATCTCACCGTTTTCGAATTTCGCGTGGTGAAGCGTAACGTCTACACTTTGAAGATTCGAAAGATAAGGTCCATGAAACAGGACAAATGAGCGAAGACGATGATTAACTCGTAGCAGTTGAAAGGCCTCGAACACGGCCAATTTCCCTATAACCTGCGATTCGAGAAGAGCCGGGAAGGAACGCAAATTTCTGAAGGTCATCATTGCGATGCTAGACTATCGAATCGAATAATCGAATAGATCAAATATCGAATGGATCGAATATTCGAGACTGTGTATTTTAATGATTGTGGGGGTTAAGACGAGAAAATGCTCGAGGCAAATCGTCGTCAGCTAATAGACGTCACATTTTCCGGTGTCGTTCTAACGTTCACATCTGTCCTGCTGTGAGATGCTAAAGAGAGTAGGTGTTTAAAACTTGTACATGTTTTTGTGGTGTGATCCAGTGATCCGGCGATTTTCCTTTTTTTGATCCTACGCGTTTTGCATAATTTGATGATCCATTTATTCTCTTTCTGATGGCGGGAAAGAGGAGAGTCGTCAAACTCCGACTCTCTACCGCTCCCTAGACAAATCTCTAGGGAGGGGTAGACACCTATCTCGACTTTGACCCTAATTTTCTCTATGTTTTTATCAGTAAGTTTACAAAACAGATTCTATATTTCTTTACTAAAATTTTATGTAGATTCTAATAAACAAAACCAAAAGTTGTTTGGGTTTCTATACCTGGAGTTATGGACCATTTAACTGGATCGACTCTTCCAAGTAAATAGTTCAATTTTGACCAAAATTTTCTCTATGTTTTTATATTCAAGTGTAGTAAGTAAGTTGTGGAATTCCTTTCGGGTAGGTTGTTCAACTTTGAGTGAAAATTTCTCGCTATTTTTCTATTAAAGTGTACTAAGTAGATTGTGGTTTTCTACTTTAATATAAAAACATAGAGAAAATCTCAGTCAAAGTCAGACTACCTGTCAGACTAGTCAAACTACGATGTTTCGACGAAGAGGGTAAGTAAAAAACGAAAATCATTATTGAAACCACATTTTCTAGGGTGAATTTTCACGGGGAATCCGAATCTGCACTCAGAAATAGGGGTTAGATAAGAGAAAGTACCACTTCTCAGTATATTGAGAAGAGTGACTAGTCGAAATTCCGACTAGTCACTATTCCGATGTATTACTATCTTGTAAGTGTGATTTTAAACAATAATTGCAAACGACTGTTATTGATTGACGACATTTTGTTAGATTATTTATTTTAGATTTCAAATGATCCGTCTTGTAACTGGCGAACTTGGATGTGGACTGTAAGTCCTGAAACCATCTTTGCTCGTTTCGTTTGCAAGAGACCGTCAAAGAGTCGTTTGGCCAAAGAAAAGGCATTTTTAGATAAATTTTGAATAAACCTTTTTGAAAAAGACGGACATTACAAAGCAATTGTCAGTTTAAAACGGTTTAACATTCAACAACTGAAAGATCTATTCAAAAAACTTTCTTGCTCAATATATTTGCTAAAAACATTTATGTCGGAAAGAGTAAGTTAATTTCTTATCTCTGCTCTGCAGGAAGTTCCATTGATTTTCGAATTTCTGTTCCAAAATCGGGTCAAAGCGGTTAAAAACAGCTCAATGGGTTAAGAATGTGGTGATAAAAGATGTTTTTAAGCATTGGTATAAAAAAAGAAAGGTTTATGGTAATGTTCCACACCAAAAAATGGAAGAACTAGAAGAGTTGAAAGAGTTTGGAAAGAGGTGTTTTGGTGGAACTGGTGTTGATCAAATGTGAAATTGCTATAAATGGAGAGTTCAGATAAAGAAGAGACTCTTCGATAGAAAGTGTTCAAAATTTTTGTCTACTGTAGTTAAAGTTTCAATAACCTAGATTCTTTTCTTGAGCTGATTCAGGTGCGAAGTTGATGTTTGAGTAAAGTAAACAGTAAATAGTAAGTAAAAGCTTAAGTAAACAAAATTTTAAAACATATATTAAGAGTCTTATTGGCTGAATAACAGTAAAAGTAAAGTTTATAATCTGTGACTTAGCTTTCCAGCGTGTTTTTTCTCTTGCTTTCAAAGCACATCAGTGTCACATTGAAAAATTAAATTATTTGTCTTTATCGCTTCCTGGTCATCACAGATCCTTCAGTATTCAGTAATGGTCAGTGTCGAACCAACGGTTTGAATGTTGAACGGATTTCTGAAATAGCTTCATTGCTCCAATTCCGGTTTCAGTTCAACCACTCCACTTTGTTCGCAATTCTATTGAAAAGTCGAATCATTTGTGCCTAGTGGATGTCTATCTTTGGCACTGTTTGTTCTCATCTCTTTACTCCCACAAACGATCGGGAAACGGCAACGAACACGGACAAAATCACAAATAAAAACATTTTAAGTTATTCGATGTATCGTTTGATTTCCTTTTTATGCTAATAATCTGCTTTCTGATCTCATTATCAGATGGTAGATGTAAAGAATTCCAGTTTCGGGATGCCCTTAACTAGGGTGTGTTTACATCTCAGACTCAGCCCGCTCCTGGAATCTAACTTCAAAGGGTTCCCCTGTAAGAGCTCGAAGCCGTATCTCCTGTACCAGATTCAGGTTGGACAGCTCAAAGTCGCTTTGAGTCGAGCTTTGAGTGAAGTTTCGGTGATCGAGTTTCTGACCATAGTTCGAAAGCGACTCAGCAAGTGTAGTGAAGTAAACGGAGAATATTTTAAGCATTTAATGTAAGATGGTGGCGGAAATTTCGGCGCACCCTGTAATGGATGAGGCAATTTCTGTGAATGATAATTATTACCCAACATCGTTTCTATAAGGGTAAATTGGTGAAAGATGAACAGGGAACACCAATAAACGATGCAAAATGGAGGAAGCCAAAAATTTTTGATTTACTCGTTTTTTTTTAAATTTTTAAAAATTAAGTCGAATTGTTGCAAATCCTGCTCGCCAATTCTGTTGTGCATATTGTCTTAGCTTCAAACCACTTTCTCACTCGCAAAGCAAACTTGAAAACGCCCCTCCCTTCTATCCTTCCTGTTTCCGCAGCCCAATTGCAGGATATCTTCAAACATACTTCTCCTGAGCATATCCCCATCTTCTGAAATCTTATCTCTTCTCGGGACCTCTTAGTTTTGATTCTTTGCCTTCGATTGTTAATTTGTGTCGATAAATAAAAATATTTTCATAGTGCGTTTAAGAGTTACATAGATTGGGCTGACAATAAGAGATTTTTCAGTGGCGGTGGCCGAATCAGTGTGCCGCGAGGTAGGGTGAATCGTCCGGCCAAAGTACCCAGAGTCGAAAGAAAACCCAGGTTTTCTAGTCAATTGAAGCCACTCAAAACACCCAATTTCAGTCAGCCGAAACCCTTCCCATTGCCCATTCCGGATAAAGGAATTTATCATCGGCAGTTGATGCCTTTAAAAGTCAAACTGAGAATATTCAGTGAGTACAAGACGCCGATCAACGTTCCACCAAGACGACACAGCTACGAGCCCGGATATCGACAGAATCACGATCAATATGTGTAGTGTCAGACAGACAACAAGAAATAGTAGTTCATTGCTTTCTAGATCAAAATACACTGGCAAAGAAGGATACAACTCGATTCACTACCCGGCAATCAATGAGTGAGTGCTTTGAAGAATCTGGCTCAAAAACCCAAAACTCACAGAAAGCCATCTGCTCATCTCAAACCAGAACCCAGCTCCTATATAAGAAGGTGATTGATGATCATTGTTTGAAAGCATCTCTCTTCATTACGATCATTTAACAACTACCCACAAGAATAATTTTTTCATTCAAGCCCACACGGGTTTCTGCTTTTTCTGATCTCCGAAAAATCTCCGCCTACAGAACCAACAGTGAGAACAAAAAGGGAAAAAAACTCAAAGACAAATCGACGAGTTGAGGGACGAGAAGAGCGACCTTCACGAAGAATTGTCAGTTTCCTCATGCTGATGTCAATTGATGTTCAACACGTTTATCTAATAGTCTATTCAGGAGCGACGAGAGAGCCAGTCGAGTTTTCAGAATAATGAATTAAAAGGGATTTATTGGTTTTTATCCATAGAAAGGAATATAAAGAATTCATCAGAATTGAGAGCTCCTTTTGCAGATAAAACGAAGCTGATTGGTATCAAACAAGGAGAACCAATTCCCACCGCCGCTCCCAAGCTGAAATGTGTTCATTTCTGATGGAAATCCTTTGATAAAACACTTTTCGTTATTTCACAAAAAGAAATCTCTTCAGATTGATCGAAATATTTTGGGGTTAATTATGCATTGAAAATTGGAATAAATATTGATGTTTTCACGTTGAAAATCTCACCAAAGCGTGGGTGCTCGAATCATGTCCCGGATACCAATTCGTGAAATCCACCGAACTTCCATCCGTCCATTGAAAAGCATTTCCTTCGTTCGGATTTCTCTGAACCAGAAATTTTTATGTTTGGATATTGATATTTCGATCTGATTTTCCTTTATTGTTATTGAAATTATTCTAGTTTCCCAATTGATACCATTATTTCTATCCATGAGTTTCACTGTTGATATTTCAACCAAATTTTTGTCCATTTTAGAACTATTCTAGTGTCTTCAAATTCAAATTAGATTTTTATCAATTTCTCTCATTTCAGGTTTCCATCAAAGAATTATTTTATCACATCTATCATTCTATCACAAAGAGCCTTCCGACAATGGCTGAAGGAATCATTACTTTCTATTTATTTATTTATGTCTTGCAATAAGAAAAATTCAACCTCCAGTCCGATCCAGAACAACCGATTCGAAGGAACAGTTTTCGCTGAAATAAATATCTATTGTTTTTAGTTTATAAAGCATAAATTTCTACGAAAATAATGAATCCTCAAAATTGAATCATTTCGATTTTTTACCGAGTTTCTGAACGAAATCGTTCTCTTCCTGTCTGTGAATGGAGACTAAATGGCTCTTTCGACTCGCACAATATGCCTCGGCTCGTTCAAATGTCATTCCTTGATCGATAACCTTGAGATGAAGATAATCCTGGTTCACAACATTCACCAAACCTTGTACCAAGAAGCGGTTTTTGCCAAATACGACCATCCATTCAGATCCAAGACCCAAGTCATCGTTCGATTTCTGAATTTCTTCGAAAAACTTTTCTTCAGACTTTTAGACAAATACCCAATCCTTTTCTCTAAAAAACTCACAAATCTGCCCGCAACTTCACAATTTCGGCCGTTTTATTTTCTCTTTCAAATTGTCTAGAGAGGAATTGATTGGATTCAGTGAAATGGGTGTTCTGGGGGTCAAAAAAAACTGTTCTCTCAAGCCTCAATCGGCAAGAGATAAATTCTAATATCGTTGAACCCACAATTCGGCCTCCAACTTCGCGATTTTCCTTGACATTTCGGCGACTTTGGAATCTCTAAAAGCATCTCATCCTTCGATATTTCTTCAAGCGATCTCAAGACTCACATCTCTTTCAATTCAGCACCAATCTTCGTCGATCGATCATCACTTTGCGAGATTTTCGAGTTGATCTTCGTGAATTCATCATTTCTTTTCTTTTGTTCACATTGACTGGAAAAGATGAACTTGAACTCTTCAAGATTTGTTCATTTCACCCACATTTCCGTCTCGAGTCCGCAGATTTTTCCTCGAGCCTCGACGAGTTCTTGTTGGGTTTGATTCCTGAAAAGTCTTGTCATTGAGACACTCAAGCCTATTTCTTGTTTATTCTATCAGTTTCGCTTTTTTTCGAAAAAATGAGTGTGTTGGGAGTGAAAAAACTGTTTTCTCAAGTCTCAGTCGAAAAGAGATACCAAATAAACTCACATTTGGGTTTTTACGCGATATTTCTTTAAGGAGCCACTTACCCTGCGAAACCAACAGAAATGAGGGCCAGAATGAGAATGAGCAAAATAAACCGCATTTCCGAACAACTGAATCTTAATCTGGAACTGAAATTTGATGAACAAAATCTTAAACGAGAGCTCTATTTATTCGATGAACTTTTTTCTCGAATGGTCTCACTCACATAACCCTCAAAAAGAAGTTTTTAGAGATTTTGATTGATTAAACGTTTTCCAATCCCTTTCTGTTCATCGAAAAGCAAAAAAATCTTTATTAGTTCCATTTTTGTCCGTTTTGTTTTGAAGAGGCCATTGAAAGGGTAAAAAACGATTGGGGGTTTAAAATGATCGAGTTTACTATTCCTGCAGAGGAACTGTGGCCGATGAATAACTTCTATTAGGTTGGAAAGAGTTCTCGTTCTCGTTCTCGTTCTCGGAAAAAGTTCAACTGGAATTTCTTAAAAACGAATCCATCAATTCAAGAACATTTTATTCTATTATTTCCAAGACGATTCCAAGAAATTACTCGGAAAAAAAATGAGTGCAGCTTTTCCTTAAAATTTTAGAGATTTTTGAAAAAAAACATATTTTCCAAGCTTGAATTCGGCTCACTTTTTGCACCAGAAAAACCTCCTTTTGAGGTAAAGCTAGCATAAATGAGCATTTCGCTCTATAATCTCTATTTTAGGCCAAGAATTTTTTACAAGGAAGCTGTATTTCAAAAAATATTTTTTTTGGTTTCATCCTCTGGGCACTGAGTGTTTACTTTTTGTTTACTAAAATAGTTGATTCTGGAAAGTTAAAGCATTAGATATACCTTAATACAATTTACCTTCATCACAAATTCTCCCTATTTTCAGTACTTTATTTTAGGTTTGGAATGAGACCGATTGCCTATTCATTAACCCATTAAAAACTTGTCTAAAGACTGCTCACTCAAAAAGTGACCAAGTCACTTCAGCTGAAGAAGTCTCTTATTTTTTTACCTTAAACTCACTCTGATTTTTTTTGTTCAAAAACTTTTTGAAATACAGTAAAGTTTATCAATAAAGCTGGGAAGAATTCATGGCTTGCTTTTTGAGGAATCACCGTGCAAACATTTTCCGAGAACTCTCTTTCCAACTTAATAATAGTTAACTTCTCGATAAATGTATGCTATATGTTCCCGGGTCAGAATTTTCTTTAGAATTGTTTTGAAACTTCAAGCCTTGTTTTGAGCCTGCTGTAGACCACTCGACCATGGTAATACCCGGTTTTTCCGCTTTTTACGAAAAATCACACAACTTCCTAATAAAACTAACGTCAGCTTCGGAAAGAGGACCGTAATTACATTCTCTTGTAAATTTTGAGCCCATTTGGTCGAGCCATTGACGAGAAACAGCTGTGACTCAGCATTGAGTCACGCTTGTTACTCGTTATTGACTGGATTTGATGCACTGGGTCTAGTTTCTGCTACACCAGATTTGGTGCACCTGTTGGCTCTGACAACAAATGTACTAGGCCAGTACTAACAAATGTACTAGACCGACCCTGACAACAAATGTATTGGACCAGTCGTCAGATCTAGATATCTAACAGTCATCTTTTGTGTTCTTTTGTGTTTTTTTCTAACAGTGTTTTTTGTACGATTGGGACAGAGGGTCGTCGTTTAAAATAGTTTTTAATGAACTCTAAATTCTTGATGTGGTCCCATTTACCTACTCTTTGGAACAGCCGATTTTGGGGCGTTGAAAAATAGGACGACATGTCTATTAGGTTGGCGGGCAAATAATGCGAATTTTTTGTGACCCGAATTTTTATTTTAAAAAACGATAAACAAAGAGGATTAAGATAAAAGGTATTCTCCATTATTATTTAGGACATCATGCCATCTTTTGCTCAATTCAATAATTCCATCTTCAAAGAACTGGAGACTTTTTAACCAAGAATGTTCGGATAATGTGTGTGGATGTATCAGAAGTATGTCACAACTCATACAATGCAAATCTCCGTGTGTTTTTAAATTGGGCCTACCCCTCCTTTCTCTTTATTTTCAGTGATAAGAAAGCCGTATTTTGCTTCGCAACAAATTCCTTCTTTGATTTTGTCTTTTCTCATCAATTTATTTAGTTATTTAGGTCTTTTCTTTAATTTTCACTAGTTCTTCGGGAAAATTCAGTCATTTTGTAGGCATAAAATCGCCTAGCCACCGAAATGGATAATCTCTCGAATCCCCAACTCGAAGCCGATTTGTGGGTTTTTCGCAAAATCTTTGCTTCTATCAAAAACAGTTTTTAATTTAATTGAAGAGTTTAGAGAAGAAATGAAAAAGGAGATGAGTCAATTGACAGCAAAAATGGCTCAAATCAAGGCGTCTTTAATGGGGGAAAATCGAGAATTGGAAAGGAAAATCGCCGAGGCATCCAATCGTCTGGTAACCGAAATGGACGATCTCTCGAATCTTCCTCCTCCATGTCTTCAGAGCAGCTCTTCTTTTTCCCAATCCCCAGAAATGCCCGAAATGACTGAAGAATCGCCTGAAAAGAGTGTCAAATGCCTAGAAGAACCGGCCATCTCGTTGAAGAAAGTCGTCTCATTCGTTCTTCCCATTTCCCCGAATTCCAAACAAATCAACCAATTGATCGGAATGAGTGTGTTGGCCGTCGGTCTATTCATCACGATTCTCCTCCTTTTCCATCAAATTTCTTCTTCGATTCAACAAGGCGATCAATTGGATCAATTCACGTATTATTTTCCTTTCAAATAGTTATGTTTTCAATCAAGCCAATCAATAAAGCAAATTTAATAGAATAAACGAGAACTAGGCGCTGGTGAAATCAACAAATCTTGAAGATTTTAGGCTCTCTTTTTTAGTCAATGTGAACAAAAGGAAAGAAGTGATGAACTCACGAAGATCAACTCAAAAATCTCGCAAACTGATGATCGATCGACGAAGATTGGTGCTGATTTGAAAGAGATGTGAGTCTTGAGATCCCTTAATATCTGAGGATGAGACACTTCTAGAGATTCCAAAGTCACCGAAATGGCAAGGACCATCTCCACGAAAATGGCTCAAATTGAGACGGATTTAATGGCGAAAATCGCGAAGTTGGAGGCTGATTTGGTTGACGGAAGGGAGAGCAATCGAGAATTGGAAAGGAAAATCGCCGAGACGAAAAGGAAGAGCGACGATCTCACAGCACAATTGTATCTTTAATTTTAATATTATTTTCCTTTTTGTCAACGTAAAATATAGATAAAAATTGGGTTTTTTTTAGAAGTGATCAAAATATAGAAGTGAGAGAAGGAAAGGTCAAGATTGGAGAGCTCGAAGGGAAAATCAACGCGTTGCAGAGCAAGGACTCTGGCCTCGAAACACAAATGTGAGTTTATTTGTAATCTCTTGTCGACTGAGACTTGAGAAAAGACTTGAGAAAGTTTTTTCATTCCCAAAAGACCCATTCCAATCAATCCAATCAATTCCTTTAGAGAATTTGAAAAAGAAAACAAAACGGTCGAAATCATGAAGTTGCAGGCAGATTTGTGAGTTTTTTAGGAAAAAGGATTGGGTATTTGTGTAAAAAATCTGGAGTAAAGTTTTTCGAAGAAATTCAGAAATCGAACGATGACTTTCTTGGAATTTGAAACTGGATGGTCGTATTTGGCAGAAACCGATTCTTGGTACAAGGTTTGGTGGATGTTGTGAACCAGGATTATCTTCATCTCAAGGCTATCGATCAAAGAATCACATTTGATGAAGCTGTGGCATATTGTGCGAGTCGAAAGAGCCATTTAGTCGCAACTCACAGTCAGGAAGAGAACGAGTTTGTTCAGAAACTCGGTAAGAAATCGAAATGATTCAATTCTGAAAATTTATGATTTTCGCAGAAATTATAAACCATAAGCTTTATAAACCAAAAACAATCGATTTTTATTTCAGCGAAAACTGTTGATTCGGATTGGGGGACCTGGATCGGACTAAAGGTTGAATTTTTCGTATTGAAAGACATAAATAAATATATAAAAAGTAATTCTTTCATTTTTCATAGTCTTTCAGTCATTTTCGGAAGGCTCTTTGTAAAAAAAATTCGTTTGACTGATAGTTCTTTGATAGAAATAATGGTTTCAATTGGGTAACTGGAATAATTTCAATAGGAAAAAAGAAAAATCGGATCGAAATATCAATGTCTAAACAAAAAAATTCTTCATTCAGAGAAATCCGAACCAAGGAAATGCTTTTGAATGGGCGGATGAAAGTTCCGTGGATTTCACGAATTGGGAACCGGGATACCCGTGTTCGAGCCCCCACGCTTTGGTGAGATTTTCAGCGTGAAATCATCAATATTAATTCCAATTTCCAATGCATAATTAATTCAAAAATATTTCGATCGATCTGAGGACATTTCTTTTTGTGAAATAACGCAGAGTGTTTTATCAAAGGATTTCCTTCAGAAATGAACTTATTTCAGCTTAATGCCCTATGGGAAATGGTACAGCAATTCTTCTGTCTTTTCGTCTCGTTTTGTCTCTCAATTTTGATGGTTTCGTTATGTTTCTTTCTATAGACAAAAACCGATAAATGTCGCATGTTCTTTTCTATCAATTCTGATAAATACTTTGTGTTCTTTTCCATGGACAAAAACCAATAAATCCCATTTTATTCCATCTTCTGAAAACACACAACTGCACATTATCTTTTTCTTTATTTCTGAATTGTTTCTGCAAAATCTCAGATAAAAAGTTTTCCCAAAAACCCAGAATTCCACCTGAAGCTGCTCTCTCGTAGCCCTTGAATAGACTATTGGATAAACGTGTTGAACATCAATGGACATCCGCATGAGGAAACTGACAATTCTACGTGAAAGTCGCTCTTCTCGTCCCTCAACTCGTCTTTGATTTTTTTCCTGAAGTTTTCAAAAATTCAATTTATGCTTTTTTTCGACTCACTTTTGGTTCTGTAGGCGGAGATTTTGGTCTCGTTTTCGCTTATCATAATGATTAAGCAAGTAGATATTGTATGTATGTATTGTAGATATAATGAGCTGTGAATATCTTTATAGTCAAAAACCGAATGAGATCCCATTTTCAGACGAAATTTGTTCGATGAAATCATTTGGCTATGTACATATCTAACTTTTATTATTAGTAGGGTTTTGATAATATAAGTTTTCTAATTGAATGATCAATTGCAGTTGAAAGAATTGCTCAATCGATGGCCAAATTGCCGTGTTGTGCATCCACGTCATTCACAGAGCCAACGATTGGTCAAACGTGAAAACCAAGATGTTGAAGTCATTAAATTTGTTACTTTTAAAAGTGCTTTTAATCCAATATCTAATCAATCTAAATTCAATCAATTTACCAACCTAATTTGGAGGATTCTATGTACTCAGCTGAGAGATGAAAAGTCGACAAGATGAGCACGAATGCTTCCATGAAATCACTGAAAAATCGCCGCTTCATCGTGGTATCGAACGATCCCATTTAAAGCTTTGTTTGGGCAGAAAATGATCTTGGAATGTCGGAATGGTTCTCTTCCATCAAGTCAGGAGCTGGGCATTGACGAAGCTGAACAAGAGGCAAAGCAATACGATTCAAAGCTTATTTTATTAACATATTACTTCAGGGTCAAGAATGCAAAAAGTTCGACGACTGGAGTGGTACAATTATGGCTTCAATTTACAGAAAATCCGACTTAAGCTCTCACTTATCAGTTTGCATGATTGTCTTTATCTCAATTGCTCATTTTTGTTTTAACTGTTAACTGACAGAGCTAGATTTGAGTTGACTTCATAAAAGTATTTCAGAAAATTTCTTTCTTTTCTTTCTATCAGTCCCAAAACGACAAAAACACAATAAAACTAGCCAAATTCAACGAATGAAAACAAAACTGTAAAAAGAAATGAGGATGACAAATATGGTCTTTCAGTTTGACGGCTAGATCTCGGACTCTGAAATCTCGAACTCTGATAAGGATAGAGATTTTGAATGTTCAAACCTTGTCCCGAAATTGGCTGGCTGCTTCAGATTTGCCACTTTCTGTTTGTTTTTAGGCTTATCGTATCCGAGTGGATGAATGACAACGCACATACAAGCCACTGAAGTTATGGCAACGCAGACAACCACATAAATGCCTAAAAAGTGTAGCTTAATCAAAATTCTGAGCATCCCCTAGCTACAGTGTTCCATAGCTACTATGTGTTACTACCGTATATCATGGTTACATTATGTATACCAAAGCTACAGTAGAGATTAGCTATGTATACTCTAACTAGGTAGCCTCTAGCTCTCTCTCGCTAATTACCGTGAATTATGGCGACACCTTTTTTGGAAAATCTACTGGCAAACCCCTGGCCTATTGCCAAAGTGCCAAATGTTTAATAGAAAAATAAAGCCCTTCATCTTGGCATCATTTATCTAAGAAAAACTTCCCGATTGGAGTTATACAACTTATTTTACAAGCTCTCGAAGCGCAAGTCAGCCTCTCTCCAACGGTATGCCATTTTTGACACTTTTCTTAATAAAAAATTGTTAAAAGGTTTATTCGATATTTATTTTGCGAGAAAATAACACTTCATAGCAATAAGAAAGTCCGCAAAAAAGGGAAAGTTGAGCTTTTGACAAGAAGATCTTGCTGTATAAGCTTCTCTAGCGTTAGATTTTTGTTGAATGCTACTTTACCACAGATTTGATTGAAGAAATCCCTTCTCTAGGTGAAAATATTGTGTGCCAAAAAGTGTCAAAAATGGTAGATCACCCAAGAGAGGCTTCGAGAGCTTGTAAAATAAATTGCATAACTCCAATCGGGAAGTTCTTTGTAGATAAATGATGCCAAGATAAAGGGCCTTATTTTCCTATATAACACTTGACACTTTGGTAATAAGTCAGGCCACTCAGGGCAACACTTTGGTAATAAGTTGCCAGCAACTCTTCCAAAAAAGGTGTCGCCATAATTCGCGGTCACCTTATAGAATTTATTACTAAGGAAATGCTTTGTGATTACCGCTGTTTTTTTTATCTCTCGCTTACCCAATAAAGGAAATACGCGAGTCTTCGGAATGGCATCAGCAAGCATATCCAAAAGAACGGTCATTGACACGAGACTCGTCAAACCGATGGCTAACTGAAGCCAAATATCAATTGCTGCTTAAATTTCCACCTTTGCTAGCTGATCTTCTTTAATATTCGGTGACCAGAACATTCCAATCAGTGAAAGAAGCGTCAGGATGAAACATGGAAGAGCTATCACGTAAACATAAAAGTTTGGCTCTCGTTTAATCGTGATCATGAACGCTACCTGTAATTGGATTTTAACAGAACATAATGGCAATATCTTCAAGCAACTCTTTTTCAAAAACTTACAACTTCTAGCGGTTGTTTTGCCGTGATTGAGTAGGTAACCGGGATCGCGGCGATCACCTCCCATTCACCATTTCCCTGAAATTTTCAGTTTTGCAAAGATCTCCAATTCACCTCGAAATTATTCTCAAGATCAGGCAGTACTCTAGGCCAAAGTGAGATCCATTGTCTAAACAAATTGTGATCAAGAATTCTATTCTAAAGTCTCACGGTTGCATGGAAAGAGAGAGAATCGGTAAGCTGCAGTTCTGCTTGTCGAATGGGAACTTGTTAGCCTGAATTTGAGAAAATTTGTTAGATATTTCCGAGGTTTACATTTATTGAGCAAGCCGTCTCGGAATAGTAGGCGGTTGTTAGAAATATTGAGCCATTGCTGTAGATCTGAGCACCTTGAGCAGCGATCCCGCTCACCTCGTCCAAGACTCTTCTGGAAACGTGCAAAGTTGGGCACTATTGGCTTTAGGGGAATTATAAATGCAGCAGAATCAATAGGTAACACATTCCAGGCACTAGTCAAAGTCCAGCACTAGTCAAAGTCCAGCACTAGTCAAAGTCCAGCACTAGTCAAAGTCCAGCAGTAGTCCAGCACTAGCACAAGTCCTAGTTACAGTAGTCCTGAGGATTTCAAACAAGTCTAACTATCTACTAGTAAAATTGTTACTTTTATTAACTATCCCTATGGCGAATAGCCACGACAAGTTGGGGGAAATTGTATTCGAATTACGTCTCCATCTTATCTCGTGTCCTCAATACCGTAGCCTCTCCGTGTTCAACTAAATATCTTTGCGTAGACTTTTCCCCCATTTAAGTCGTCAAATTTGTTGTTTCTGCTCTTCTTTTTCAATTATTGCAAGTTAAAAAAATTTTGGTAAAGTTTGTTTTCTCTTTGCCTCTTGTTCGTGTGATAAGTGTGAAAGTTGCTTAAATTGGCACAAGTTCTGACTCGTTGACAAGTTGGCATAAGGGTGCGATTTTTTACACATTCAAAATGCAGTTAAGAGAGCAATAATAGCTCTAAACAAAGAAATAGCTGGCTATAGTTAAGAGTACTAAATCTAGAAGAGAAATATTTTTTGCAATCCCTTGTTTGAGTGTATTTCTGAGTAATCGAACCAAGTCTTTTTCTTGTTTCCTCTTTTTCGAGAGACCACGTTTTCGAAAGACTTTGTATACAAGAAAATTCGATCAGTTATTGTTAGGCTGAGGCTCAGGTTACTCTATTCCTTGTAACAATTTTCTTTTATACAAAAGACTACTTACGCATTTGACACAACAGTGTCGGGAATCCACAGCTTTTCCGCAGTAGTTACAATCGAATCGACGCCTCCAAAGTCGGCCTTATCCCAAACGAGCCTTGGATCACGCCAGCTCTGGATTTACTTTTACAAGTTAATGGCTAAACGAAAATTCTACTCGAATCTGGTGATGCTTACCATTTCGATCTCCAATCTCGTATTAAACCTCTGTTTCTCAGCATCCTAAACGTCTTATTTACCCAAGGATTCTTCCACCAACAAACCAAGTTGAAGACTCTTACGTAAGACAAAAGTAAGTCGACCCTCATCCTTTTCGTTTCACTGTCTAAACTTGAGAGTTTGCCAGCTTGAGAGTCTTTCCAACCCACTCGAAAAATTAACAGGCATCGGAACGAAAATCGGCGCCAATTCTTTCTCATATTCACGTGTGATGAATAATTCTTTCAAGATGAGCGACGCATTGTTCATGTAATTTGAGAACTCTTCTGAAAATTCGAGAACCTTTCTGAGGGATCTCCTTGGAAGGTCAAACCTTGAACTAGACTAGAGAAATGGCAGATTGAATTTAGCTTTGTGGAGACTTATTTTCAAAAATCTTTGGGCATTGCTGAGGTCCATTGCTAGTTCTTTGCCGAGCCTACGAACAAGTTCTTGGGATGAAGAATTCTCGGCTGTTCTCTACGCACCTTTCACAATGTTTGAGAATAAATTAATTAAGTAGAATAAATTCTGCTGCTTGGGGTTTTGCTAATCCTAAGCTTATTGGTTTTGGTTGATTGGTTGCTAGATTTCTACTCCAATAGTTCATTTGTTCTTCTACTTCTATTCGAACGTGTCCAACACGTAACTCACTCAATTTTCTTTCAAAATCTCCACAATTTTGGCCAATTTGCTCTAAAAATGACGTCCAAATAAGATTTGAAGCCAAAAATTTGCACTTCGAGGCTTTCGGGGTTTGGAAATTGACTGGAGGAGTTATTTCATTGCTGGAGGGATTTATTTTATTGCTTTCTCGCAGGTCTCTAACAATTTGAATCTAATTTTCACCTGTTTCTCCATATTGAACAAAGTCGAATTCAGCTAATATCAATCTACAGAATTGCAGAACGAAAATCAAAAAGAACATTGAATATTAAACGAATAAATGTTTCAATGTTCGATGAGTAGCCATTTCATGAAACGAAACCTTCTCTTCGAAAACATATTTCTTGTTTGAGTGTGGTTTACTCACCTGGATGTCAATTGTTTTCTCTTCTTCGGGAAAAAGTGATATTTGTCCTGCTTCCCTAACCATTTCGAGAGTTTTTAGTCTCTCAATGCACTTCTTTTCACCTTTTATTTCAGTTCTCACGAACTGGGCAAATAGTAAATGTTTGTATGTCTTTTTCCAGGTAGCTTTTCAAATTGTACCTGCCAATTAAAAAGAACAGAAAGTCAATCATAGAGAAACAGTTTTATTACATTCTATTAATCTTTTTCTTTACAAGACTTTTGACTTTACAAGTTTAAAAATAAAAACTCAAGCTCAGCATCGAATTCTTTGCATTTACCATCTGATAATGAGATCAAAAAGCAGATTATTAGTATAAAAGGAAATAAAACGATACATCGGATAACTTAAAATGTTTCTATTTGAGATTTTGTCCGTGTTCGTTGCCGTTTCCCGATTGTTTGTGGGAGTAAAGAGATGAGAACAAATAGTGCCTAAAATAGACATCCACCAGGCACAAATGATTCGACTTTTCAATAGAATTGCGAACAAAGTGAAGTGATTAAACTGAAATCGGAAATTGGAGCAATGAAGCTGTTTCAAAAATCCGTCCAACATTCAAACCGTTGGTTTGGCACTGATCGTTACTGAATACTGAAGGATCTGTCTGATCTGAAGGATGACCAGGAAACGATAAAGACAAATAATGTAATTTTTCAATGTGAAACTGATATGCTTTGAAAACAAGAGAAAACCCCGCTGGAAAACTAAGTCACAAATTATAAACTTTACTTTTACTGTTATCGAGCCGATAAGACTCTTACTATATGATCTAAAACCTTGTTTACTTAAGCCTTTACTTACTATTTACTGTTTACTTTACTTAAACATCAACTTCGCACCTGAACCAGCTCAAGAATAGAATCCAGGTTACCGTATTCTCTCTAATAGTAGTGCGCACTACTATTTTTTCAACCCCCTCCTGGACCGCACTACTATTAGAGAGAATAAAATAAAATATCAAACTTTAACTACAGTAGCTAGTAGACAAAAATTTTGAACACTTTCTATCGAAAAGTCTCTTCTTTATGTGAACTCTCCATTTATAGCAATTTCACATTTGATCAACACCAGTTCCACCAAAACACCTCTTTCCAAACCGTTCAACTCTTCTAGTTCTTCCATTTTTTGGTGTTGACCCACAAAATTACCATAAAACTTTCCTTTTGTAAATCAATGCTTAAAAGTACCTTTTACCACCACATTCTTAACCCATTGAGCTGTTTTTAACCGCTTTGACCCGATTTTGGAACAGAAATTCAAAAATTAATGGAACTTCCTACTTCCTAGAGTAGAGATAAGAAATTAAATTACTCTTGCGGACAACAAAAGTTTTAGGCAAATTTTTTGAGCAAGGAGGGTTTTTGAATAGATCTTGCAGTTTTTGAATGTTAAACCGTTTTAAACTGACAATTGCCTCGTAATGTCTGTCTTTTTCAAAAAGGTTTATTCAAAATTTATCTAAAAAGGCCTTTTCTTTAGCCAAACGACTCTTTGACTGTCTCTTGCAAACGAAACGAGCAAAGGTTCTTCCAACACTTCCTGAAGCTCCCGACCAACCTCGCCAATCACATGACAGATCATTTGAAATCTAAAATAGATAATCTAACAAAATGTCGTCAATCAATAACAGTCGTTTGCAATTATTGTTTAAAATCACACTTACAACACAGTAATACATAACGGGAAAAAGCCGAGCTGAAAAATCAACAGGAGATCCATCAGTCCAAGTTCCAACACCGACTGTTCCATTCCCATAATAGCCGATCCAAGCCCATTGCGAATAACATGAATCATTGTTAGGAACAGTGATCGGTATTTCCGATACGTTTGCATATACAAGATCTAAAGATAAATTCAAAGTTTGTGCTGATTGTATGAAGATTCTACAGGGTGGCCGACGAAATTTGGCGCAAGGTTCTTGCCTCGTAGATGATGCCAGGTTTACCAAAACCTATTGAACTCATTTCCAAAGTTGTAGCAAATTTTCTGTAGTTTCTGGAACTTATAACTATTTTACAAGAGTTCTCCTAGCTCTTGAGTTATGCCCTTTTCCGAGCCCTCCAAAAAAAGACCTCTGTGCCGAAAGTGATAGAGAGGTTCACCCTAGAATATTGTGTTGTGCACCAAGCTGGCTGCTAAAAAAATTTTCAGTTATTAGCTAAGGTCTTGTTTTAGTTAGCCGGAACTGGAATCTGATAGAAAAATAGCAAAAAGTCTTTTTAGACCCTTTTTCCATCATTTTCACCATTTTCACCACCACTCCTTAAAAAACGGAAAAAATCGAGGTTTTGTCAGACTCAAGATGTACTTTTAAGTCATGTGTTTGGTTTCAAAAAATTGGTTACATAATTTTGACTAATTTTACTTCAGATATTTTAGCTAATAATGCTATTTGCAAAAGAAATTTAACCTCCAACTTTAAAAAAAAAACGAGCAGCGGCACTAGGAGATTTCTTATAAAATCATTATTTTCTTATAAAATAAGTTCCAGAACCTACAGAAAATTTTCTACATTTTTTTGGATATGAGTTCAATAAATTTTGATAAATCCGACATCATCTACAAGTTAAAAACCTCCGTTAAAAACTTGCGTCCAATTTCGTCGACCACCCTGTAGATTGTTTTGGAAAGGAAGATTGTAAACTCAGTTTTGTGATTTTTTTGCTACAAGTTTTATTGGGTTTTATGTACGATTGAAATTTCCAGAAATTACCTATGCAGCTGCCGTTTTATGTATCATTTGAAGGCGTGACATTTGCAGCTCTGACTATCTTTGCATTATTCTTACCGGTCGCATACGTTCTCTTCACAAATTACGTCCCTATTTGCATTTAATTTGCGTCGCTTTTTTGTCTCATTTTCTCCACTCAAATTTGTTTTTTTTTAGTTTTTCGAAGGAACTTGTTTTTGTGGCTTTTGTGGCTTGTCGCCCTTTTGGATTTGGAGTTTTGCCCTCGTTCTTTCGAGATTTGATGTACCCCTTCACGCGCACTTTTTTTTTATAATGTGTAATGTTGCTTTTTCTTTCTTTTTGTACTAATAAACCGTAAAATTATAAATCCGATTCACTTTAAACTGCCCTTAAGCTTCTAAATTCTATTTAGATAGCTGGTCTAACATTGGAGAAAGAATTTGCTAATATTTGTGTTGCCATCGACGTAACGTCAATCCGTTCTGTACTCGTTTCTCGAGCGTTAACCTTATGCTTGATGTTGCGTGTTCTTGTTGTCGTGAGTGTTTTGGGAAAACCCGATTAACCTTTTGTGCTACTCGGCTATTCTGAAACAAAATCATCCCCTAAGATTAAAGCGGGTCACACCCCGAACTTACCAAGCACAAAGTTGTTTTCGTTTTCTGAATGAATCGAGACCAAATTGGAACCCATTCTTCTGCAATTAGCCTCAGCTGCTGTGAAATTGTATAGTTGCCAATAAATGCCATCAGCGTAGGTGAAATTCTAGAACTAACACTGGTGATTCGAGAGAAGGATACCTGCAAGAAATAGCAATAATCAGTTTGTTCGTTATATAGCCAACCATCAGGACATTGGAAATCTGGAAGGCAATATGGATCCAATTTATATATTTTATATATTTATAATTTATACATTTGACTTACCATCTCCATTGATTGAACAGAAAAATGGACGAGCAAATGAACATTCAGCTGCCAGCCAAGATCCACTTTGAGGATCCATTATTGTGCAAAGACTTGTATTGCTCGAGTTATTTGGTTCATCTAAACGATAACTAGTTAAATTTGATTAACATTTATTTACAGAATCAATCAAAACTTCCAAATAGACTCACTGAGAGCCCAATTCTGATAAGTGAGCGGTGATCCATCAGCGTAAGTCCAAACGTCATTCATTTTCCTTTCCACTCCAATATACGGTGATAGATTGTTCAAGCCTTAAACTATTGAAATTTATGTTCATTTTATCGGATTACCTTTCTTGGTCATTGAGAATACATAGGTGTTTTCAAAAATGTTCTGAATTTTCACTGGAACTCCGCCAAGAGATCGACAATAGAGACTGGCATCAAGGTAGAATTTGGCTGAATTGGGGATTTTTGTTCTAGTTTTTGACTGATTTTTGATTCGAAGCGTGTCTCTAATGGATTCAGCTGCTATTTTAACCGTTTTTGATTAAATTTTACGCCATTTCTTTTCAAAAGCTTACTTTGATCAACCACAAACATGCACACATCCTCATTCGGTATTTCAATACTTCCTTCTGGACAATGATATGCATCCACGAAGCAAAAGAAACCAAAAATAAAGGAAAGCAAACGATACATTGCTGACTTTTTGGTGAAAAAGTCGAGAATTGTTTAAGATTTTAAGATTTTTTTAGGATAAGACTAATGGGTATGAAAAGGCAAGAAAAACAACGTGACTTCTCGAGCGCTTATCAACTTTACGTTTTTGTCACCCAAATCTGATTCAAATGTTATTTTTATTTTGGCTTTTATCAAGTCAACAATCTTTGGCAAGGATTAATTTATTAAAATCGAGTTTAAGCCTTCAATTTAATCCAAAGATAAGATTTGTTTGTCGGTTTTCAACTTTGATCACGTTTCTTTTGCTTTAACGTGGATTCATATCAGTCCAACCATCGTTCCCGTTGACGCCAATCCAGGCAAACGGCGGAATTCCGACATCACAAACATTTTAAACTACAAGATCTACAAGACAGAGGCCCGGGCTAGAGTACCGGCCGAAATTAGAACGCCTCCAAAAGTGTACCTTCTTTGGAGGCTTATAACATTTTGTCTAGCCATGGAAATTCCGGCCTTAAGAAGTCGTGTAGCTCTGGGTTAACCACCAAATTCGTGAGACGTTTTTCGGAC